GGCTCTACTCCTTGACCCTGTCACCATGCTAGGGGGCGCTGCCCCTTTGGACCCCCAACATATCTGCGAAACGTACAATGATCAAGGATATGAGCAAATAGGGGTCGAGCCGACTTCAAGGCAAAAAAAAAAAATCTCTACACTCCCCGCCCCCCCTGAAAATTAAGGTTAGATCCGCCCCTGCTGTTTGCCATTAATATTATCGATCTTTCAGTCAATTCAGGTATGGTTTGGATATATGTTAATTTCAAGCCAAAGGTTTTCCTCATTCTCCACTATTTTTTAGTAAGTTTGCAACAATGTCACAAAAATTCTTCTTGTTCTTTGACTTCCAGGATGGACCTCAGGCTGGACAGACAGTTCCTCATGTGCACATCCACATCATCCCCAGGAAAAGTGGTGATTTTGAGAAAAATGATGAAATTTATGATGCGGTAAGAGATTATTCTTTTGCTGCCACCTTTTCGTTAAATTTATGTTTAATCTTTTAACCTTCCATATAATCACCGAACAGATTGATGTGAAGGAGAAGCAGCTGAAGGAGAAGCTGGATCTCGACATTGATAGGAAAGATAGAACATTTGAAGAAATGTCTCGTGAGGCTGATGAATATCGACTGCTTTTCTCATAATGATTTTCCATATTATTGGTTAGGAGTATCATTTCCTTCAACGTCTAACCCTGGAAAGCTAATTTATAGCCGCTGATTCTTCCTATTATCTGGTTAACTCTGCACAAGAATCTATAGCTGTTCCAATCATCTTTAAATGATAGTTTAGTGACTTGAGAAGACCTTATTACAACTTTATTTTTTTAATCTTTGTTATATATTAGTAAGGCTGAGAGCTTGTTGTGTTGATCCAATTTTAAGTTAATTTACTTGTGGTTGCTGTAGTATCTCTATTTCACTTAGAACTATACACTGTCTTCAACAATAAAAAATTTTATTTCTTGTGTTATCATTCAATGCATTCTTTTATTTTAGCTTGATATATTTTTGCAGGTTATTTTTGTGGTTTTCTGTTGTATAATTATTTTTTTTGGATGATCAAGTCATGGCCATGTAGTTCTGGCATTTTATACAGTTGAGCAAATATCCTTGAAGTTCTTTATGATTGTTCTTCAAGTTAAGCTTGATACACTTCTTCTTCTAAAATTTTTGAGGTTTGATTGAGGTTTTGTTTGGGACAGCTTTCTTAGTAATTCTTAAAGCAGCTTTTTAGTACAAAATTTTTAATTTTTGTACTTAAACCGTCTCAAACGAAGCCTGAATCTTTCAATATTTGCATTATTGAAATGATGAACACAGCTCTGAGACTTGGGCATTTCAGTGGCACAGCAACATGAAATTAAAGGGCTTCCTGCAGATTCTATCCATTATGACGATGAACGCCATTATCAATTCACATTGATGATTTCCTGGAGCCATAATAAGTCTGAAGACATCATCATCCAGAATCACTAATGGGCTGACCATCTTCCTAGATATCCAAGCCACGAGCTTCCCCGACCTTCCCCAGATTTTGCAGCTTCTCTTCTGAAAACAGCCCTGTATTCGGTAGTCTGCTTCTTCCATTGATTTGCTTCCAGCCTTATCTCCTCTGCTTTTATGCAAAAAAATCTCGACATCGTCGTCTCTGTTCTTAAGGATTGATCGTTGTTTCATAGTAAAAATTAGGGTTTTGAAGCTGGCTGTTATGCTGTATCCATTCCACTGGTCATGGAGGCTCAAAATCTGCATGTATGTAGAGAGAGTTTTCAGAGCTGGATGTTATGAGTATGATTGAATAGGGTTGTAAATGAATCTAGTGGAGTTAAGCCAGAGTACTGTAGTGTTGAAGTTTGTTTGTTTATTTTCTTATCGAGCTCGAATTGAATTGGAGCATGACTTTAAGGTTTCATTTGAGACGATTTTCTTACTATTTAAAGTAGTTTTCTAGCGTAAAAAAATAAAATTTTTGTACTAAAAAGTTGTTGTACTAAGCATTAATAAAGCTGTCCCAAACAAAACCTTGCTACTTAGTAAAGTAGCTTTTTAACACAAAAATTAAATTTAGCACAAAAAAAGCAGGCACAAATGAAGCCTAAGTTTATCTAAAGCTTGTTTGTTAGTTTTATTATTGAGTTTAAGTCATAATCTAGCCTAATTAATTATCAGAATTATTTTAATTATTTCTTGATGTTTAACTATTAGTAAAACTATTTAAATATACATGTTATGTGCTAATGTGTTTGTGATAATATAAAGAGTGATTAATATCTTAGTTTTATATAAAGATTCAGCACATAGATAAGATAGGTTTGCAAGAGACATTAAAATTTTCATGTAAAAAATTTATAGGATCTAATACAATTTAAATAATTACATTAATATATATTATTTATTAGAAATGATTCACTTCTCTTGATTGGAAAATATATTGATATAATATAACATATATAACTTGAACATGATGGGGAAGTTGAAAGATTTTGGTTGCATGTCTTCAAGATATCATTTGATATTTGTTTCGTCGTTCTCTTTTGAGGTTAGGAGGTCAATAATCAAGAAGTTAAATATAAATTTTGTGATGATGTCGGGAGTTAAAGTTGATGTGCATTAGACTTATGGGTGATGGAGTGTATTAATGTTGGCAATAACAAGTGATGAATTAGTGGGCGCCAGTGTAGCTAGGGCATAAGGGTTTGATGAATTTAGTTAGACGACAGTGGTTGAAGGTCCGCAGCTGGGGAATGTTGGTTGGAAGATTGAAGTTGAGTGACGGTGGTCTGAGGACCATAGTTTTGATTCGATATTGGTGCTACGATGAAGCTTTGAGATGCTTTAAGTTGTTGAGCTCTTTTTAATCTCAAGCTAAGTGTTGATTGTCCCATGCATGTTGAGACTAGAGGCTTATTTAAGGATTTTTAAAGTGGCATATCTCATAAATATAATCAATATCTACAACATGCGATTGGATGGCTCATACTGATTCTTTATATCATAATTTTTTTTTTAAGCATTTAGGTATCTTAATGATATTATTAGATAAGTTTTGGCTCATTGGATTCTTCTCGTCCATACACTCAATTTAATTGTAACAAATGAGATTTGAAGAATGTTTGATCATCCAATTAATATCATGAAATTTTCAATTAAGCTTTAAGTGCTTAGTTTGAGCTCATTTGGAATCGAATTGAATCACTGTTAGTGTCAATAAGTTTTTCTTCTTGAGATTTCCTACTTGACTTCAAGTTTGCTGAAAGCAGAGTTCTGATAATACTAAGATTTTATTTGTAACAGCTTTAGACTACAATTTGATCTCTACTTTTAAAAGATTTTGAACTAAAAAATAATTTTATAAAGTAGTAATAAAACCGTCTCAAACAAAATCAAAATTTTATTCCGAAAATTTCTAATTCAAATATGTATCAAAGATTCATTCCCAGCCAAGTTAATTTTTAAGACGGATCAATGCAGATCTAAATGTGTCATTTATATGATAAGCTTTTAAAATTTGATTTATATACCTGAGGCTTGAGAGCAAGCAGTGGCCTTCCATCTACATCCGTGAGGAGGAGCTCTCCAACGAGGTACTTATTTCTCCTGGAATAGTTATCTACCCTAAAGGCGAGTTTCCCATTACCGTCGAATATTGAGAAGCCGTCGCTCCCCACAAACGCCATGCTGGATTTCTTCCAAACTGTCCATGATTCAGCTGTGTTGACTGTCGGCTTTGCCGCCATGCTCCTCTCTGTGCGGAGTTCCGAAGGGCGGATCTTTGACATGTTTTGATGAGGAGAATTTGGGATAGAAGGAAGAAGAAGATGAAGAGAAGTTGATTTGAGTTGGGAATTCAGTAATGTTAGGCTGCGGATGTGATTTCTGAGTCTTTTCGTGTTGTGAACAAATGGGACTTCTGGGTAGGCTTGGGGACTTTTTTAGGCTCTGGTTCTATTGAATGAAGGAATTAAAAGAAACGAGATGAAATTAAAATAGAAATGAAAATGGTGGTGGAATTGGAATGAAATTCATTTTTTATTTATTTGATTGGTCGAAATGACATTTTGTGGAAAATGTTTTAATTTCTTTTTGTATGAGTAATTGAGTTTTATAAATGTGATTAAAAAGTTGTTGCAGGAAAGTATTTTTTTTTATAAGCTATTCTAGATATTTTAAATATGTTTTTTTTTTAATTGAATAGTTATTTTCTTAAATCTATTGCACATTAAAAACTCTGGTTGTATCCATCGATGCTTAGCTCGTTTGTGGGCGAGCATGATTGGGTACCCCCAACTCACGTTAGATTCCCCTCGAGCGACAACGCCTCTTAAGTGAGGCCCATGAAGTGTAGGCAAGGAGTTGGTGGATGCCACTTTTTGGTTAGCTAATGATTAGTCACGCTGCCAAGAACTTCGTCAGGGGTGGCAATAGGGGTGTTAATTATTGACATGACCCGATAACCCGACCCGAACTTGATCCGAAAAATCAGAGTTCGGGTCAACATCTTTAACAAACGGGTTGGATTCGGATTGCACTTTTTGACCCATTTGAAAAATCAGGTGGGGTCCTGGTCTAACTCATTTGACCCCATTTGACCCGAAACCTGAGAAGGATTCGACTTCGCTAGTTCGCCATATTTTCCTCCGTGGTCCGTGGTCCGTGCTCCGTGCAGCTCTGTGGTTCGAAACTTCAAATCCCAGGAGTGGGTCGACGAGATCAGAGCTCGCGACAGTGATGCCAGAGTCAAATTCCACCGGCGGCAGTAAGCATCGTCTCCCAGTCATCAGTGGACAACCCCTATCCCACACTTCTCGCCTGCATCAAGCATCGTCTCATAGCCGTAGCGTTGTTGCCCATTCCTCCTTCCTCCACTCTGCCGATCTCAGTTGTTCCTCCTCCGTTGCCGCTGCTGCTAAGAGAAGAAGATATGGTGGATGTAGAGGTAGGAGGGCTCGGGCTCCACCTTTGCCTTCCTTCCCCAAGGATTTGATCATTTTGAGGCTTGAGCTGCACTCGCACAGGCGTCCGTCGTCCCGCACTCCCGCTCCTCCCATACGGCGTATGCGTTCCGGCAACTCGGCAAGCCTCGCGACATCGCTCAGGCGCACTCGCACATGGTTTGGAAGAGGGTTCTCGAGTGGAGTCGGGTCAACCTGTGTCCGGGTTGGGAACCTAACCCGTTTGCAAAATCGGGTCGGATTCGGGTTGACCTGTTTGGACCTGCGGTTAGTCCGGGTTGGATCCGAACCCGACCCGTTGACCCATTTTGACACCCTTAGGTCGCAGCGAGCAGGTACCCCATTTTCAAAAAAAAAAACTATGGTTGTAAAAAATAGCTTCTCATCATAAAAAATATCTAAAAAATAACTAGAAATAGATAATAATATAGTAGCTAAATAAAATTATATTTGTGATCTGAAAAATAAATAATGAGAAAGTTGTGACAAATAGATCAAAAATGTGAATTATAACTGTAAATTAATATTTTTCTGCTTTTATTAATTTTATTTATTAATATTTGGTATGTGAATTCAATTACCCGTTTATTATATTGAAATCAAACATCCCATTTTTATATTTGGTTTGAGGAATTGGAGGTAATGAAAATTTATATTATTTCTCTTTGGTGCTTGCATTTGATGTAACAAAGAGGTCGTTGGTTAAATTTATATAAAATATGAATAAATACATTTTTATTTTCTAAACTTTATTCAATTTTTATGAAAAGAAAGTAAGTAATAAATTAGGAGATGATTATTATGACCAATACATTTATTTTTCATAAAAAATAGAAATTTAATTTCTCGTGAATTAAATAAAAAAAATTATAAAAGCCATTAGATGTCTAATCAACCAAACATGTGAGTGAAAACAAATTTCAATTCTTAATTTTTCTCATCCCAATTCATTCAAACCAAAGAAAGCCTATATAGCCATGTGAAGTAAATCATGACTTTTTCTAGTTTTGTATTTTTAATAAAATTAGCAAAATTATATTTGGTTATATTTTATTTATTTATTTTTTTATAGTGATAGAAGTAATTTTTATAATAAAATTGATGCTATATTTTTTGGAAGTGAAAATTCTTATAATACCAACATTAATTTAAAAAAAAAGTATTTTTAATAAAAGAGTTCTACCATTATTTTTACAGACAGTTATAGCTATCCTAATGGATCTTTAATTACCTTAAACTAATTATTAATTTGCTGTGGCTATAATGTTTTGTAAAAATTATTGTAAGACTCTCATAAAAAATTATAAAAATATATTTCTTAAAATAATAAAAAAAATTTAGTAAAAATTTAAACTCGTAATTGAATGAATATTTTTAGATTTTATTTGGAATAATTTTTTTATTGTTTAATAAAACAGTTTCCTAATAAAAAAAGTTTTTTAAATTTAAATTTTTTCATAAAACAGTTTAAAAAATTAACTTATATTTCTTATGCAGCTAACGTGGCAATTGAGAAATAGAAGGCTCAATTTGTACTTCAAACGGGCCGGCAATGGTGAATCCCTTTGACAATATCGTCTATGTGAAATAGTTTTTTTTTTTTTTGGTGCGAT